ATCAGAAGAAAACGAAAATAGGAAACAACCTCGGAACCCGCTACAGAGGGCCTCTGAAAGCCAGAAGAAAACAGGAAACAACCTTGAAACCTGCCACAGAGGGCCTCTGAAAGCTTCTGCAGTATAGACTGTCAAAGCAAATGCTGAGCCTGATGGCCAACTGATGGGCAGAGTGAATGGAATTTTATGTAAGAAGTGGGAAATAGTAAGAGCTGGAGGGGACAGGAACTCCACAAGGAGAGCAACAGAACAAGATAATTTGAACACAGGGAACTTCCCAGAAAATCATACTCCAACCAAGGACTATTTGTGGAGATGACCTGGAACCCCTGCACAGGTGTAGCCCATGGCAGTTCAGTGTCTAAGTGGTTTACATAGTAATGGGAAGAGGGACTGCCTCTGACATAATCTGATTGGCCTGCTCATTGATCACCTCCCCTTGAGGGGGGAGCAGCCTTACCAGGCCACAGTAGAGGACAATGCAGCCACTTTTGATGAGAACTGATAGACTAAGATCAGAAAGAAGAGGAGAACCTCCTCTATCAGTGGACTTGGGGAGTGACATGCATGCAGAAAGGGGAGGGAAGGTGGGATCGGGAGGGGAGGAGGGAGGTGCTTATGGGGGGATACAAAATGAATAAAGTGTAATTAATAAAAAATTAAAAAAAAGAAAGACAAAGGGGATGGAAATTAGAAGAAGGAGAAAACAAGAAACAGGACAGGAGTCTACCACAGAGGGCCTCTGAAAGACTCTACCTAGCAGTTTATCAAAGCAGATGCTAAAACTCATAACCAAACTTTGGGCAGAGTGCAGAGAATCATATGAAAGGAAGATTTAGTAAGACCTGGAGAGGACAACAGCTCCACTAGGAGAGCAATAGAATCAAAATAGCTGGGAACAGGAGTCTTTTCTGAGACTGATACTCCAACCACGGTCCATTCATAGATGTAACCTAGAACCTCTGCTCAGATGAAGCCCATGGCAGCTCAGTATCCAGGTGAATTTCCTAGTAAGATGAGCAGGGACTGTCTCTGACATGAACTCAGTGGCTGGCTCTTTGACCATCCCACACCCCACCCTCACCCCCAATGGAGGAGCAGCCTTGCCAGGCCACAAAGGAGGACATTGAAGCCAGTCCTGATGAGACTTCATAACCTAGGTCAGATGGAAGGGGAAGAGGAACTCCCCTATCAGTGGACTTGGAGAGAGGTATGGGAAGAGATGAGGGAGTGAAGCAGGGTGGGATTGGGGGGAATGAGAGAAGGGCCTACAGCTGGGATACAATGTGAACAAAATGTAATTAATGTAAAAAAAAATAAAAATGTAATTTAAAAAGTGAAAAAAAAAGCTCAAGCAGACTGCTGCTCATGCTTCTGAACAGTGTGGTGGGAAACACCTGTGAGAGAGAGTGGCAGGTGAGGTCACTGCTCTCGTGGGAACTGTATGGCTAAGAATTTGGGGGTAAAATGCAACTTTCCAGGCAAGGGAAGGGCATTTCAGAGACATGCCCTTGGGGTTCATAATGGAGACCAGAACAGACTCAGTCTTACTGAAGAAAGCCAGTATGGCTGCTGCATGAGAGTGGGGGTCGCAGTACCTCTGTAGAGGCATTAGATCACAGAGCACCCTAACTCTGCAGCCACCGCAGAATCTGATGAAGTACTGGGACGTGATGTAGTCCACGTTTTCACACGCTTACCCTGGGCCTGTGTAGTATCTCAGCAAACTTCTTAAAAACACACTGGGAGCAGAAAAGATGCCCAACAACACCACAGTCCTACAAAGTGAAAATGATGCTTCTTTTTTCAGGTCAATGCATTAGAGGCCTATCCCCTCCTCACCCCCTACACTGTTAAAAGAAATAACCAATAGAGACATTACAGTGTTTTCAATCATGTCTGTAGTGTGCTGGCTGCACAATTTGGAGCAGGTTATTTTCACTCAATTTCCCACCAAAATAAAAAGCCATTTCTATGGCGAATTTTAACTGGACTCCATTTAACTATTTCTGCTTTTCATGGCAAACTATTTCAGATTTTGTTAAAACCTGGCTCTGCCTACAATTCTAAACTGAATAATAATAATAATAATAATAATAATAATAATAATAATAATAATAATAATAATAACAGAAATGAAAGAAAGGCTACTATTCAGATTTGCATTTAATAGGTAAAACGGAAAGGACAAAAACGCCATCAGACACTTGCAATGGGAAGCAGAAACTGTCCGGCAACCACTGGGAGCCATTCTGCTTCATACAGAGCCAGCTCTGACTGCTGGCTGCCCTCACAGTAGATTACTTTCCTTTCTGAGCTCACAAGGGAGTAAGTGATGTCTACCGTCTGTCTCTATGGCAACTAGTACCCTAATTTCACCTCTTCGATGGCAATTATACCTATTCAATGAACAGCTTTCAATCCCCACTTTCATGATTGAAATTGATTTCACAAAAAACTGTGACACAGGCCATAGGTGAGCCCTACCCACCCTGCAAAGGCGGGCTCCGTACAAGCGTTTGTGGGCAGAGTGCATTCAGAAGATATTTTTCCATCTCATTTAGAAAACGTTTATACCAGATGCGTTTCTCCTAGCTATACTTAATGGTAAAACATTAGGATTTTCTTCACTGACAGCCTATTTAACTATAAAATTTACCATGTTTGTTAGAAAGAATTTTGTGAATACAGGAAGCATATAGAAAAGAAGAAATAAGACAATAATTTCACTCGTGACAAACAAAAGTAATCACTGTTTACGTCTTCCTGGCATTGCGTGTGCATATACATACAAATGCAATTTAAATCTCCCAGCACATATCTTATTACAACAGACTGCCTCACAGAACAAATTGAATTAGCCTCCATACCACTACGATCTTCTAAACAACCGATCTCGACAGCTTCAAAGGGTTTTCTTTGATGAATCCCTATCTTCTCAAAAATTATATTATTTCAATTTATACATTTGCATAAATTATGCCACGTGTGTGGTTGCCTGTGGAGGCCAAAAGAGGAAGCGAGATCCCCTGAGCTGGAGTTACAAACAGATGTGTGCTGGCATGGAGGAACTGGGAATGGAACCTGTGTCCTTCGCAGAAGTAGCAAGAGCTCTGAACTGCCGGGCCACCTCTCCAGTTCCTGGGTTCCTATTTGTAATTTAGCTAATCCCTCCATGTCAACATTATGAAAATCCAATATTTTTTCACATATAAACCCTAATGTTAAACTTTAAAAAAAAAATCAAATGAACAAGCATTTCAAGTAGTTTTATCGACTTTTCTCCAACAATGTATATAGCAATTTATTTTTGCACTATAGGCAGAGAAAGCAAAGCATCTATCTTCTTAAATTCCCATGCGTAAACGCATATATAAGCAAGGACCACAGATTACACTTGCTCTCTATCACATTTTGGTGTGTGAGCATACCTTTTACTGAACTTGAGGCTCACTGTTTTGGCTAAATGTAAGGTCAGAATGCCCAGGGATCTACTTGCCTCCATTTCCCATCACTGTGCTTATCGATTGTTTGGCCACATGTGGCATTTTATGTGGGCACTGGGGATTCAAACTCAGGTCTTCATGCTTGCACAGTAAACACTTTACCTACTGAGCTATCTCCCCAGACCACTGTCTTCTTAAATTCCTGAATAGAAGCACCGTGTTTAAAAGCACAAGGCATAGCTGATGATTTCATAAAAGGGGGGATATCTTGTTACATGACTATTAAGACATGGGTCTTGTTATCTTATCCGGACTAGATTGGCCTTGGTCTTTTGGGCTCAAACAACTGTCTTGCTGGAGTAGCTGAGTCTGTAAGGGTATACCATCATGCTTAATTTAATATATTAGCTTATCTAATTAGAACTTGTCTTAAAGATAAATGTGTCGTATATTTCATTGATAGTTTTTGTTTGTTTTTAAGCAATAGGGATTGCCTGTCAACTTCTGCAGCAGGATCTATGCTGTCCTCTGACATCCATTCTCAGTAACAGAGGAGACAACTTCTAGCCCCCTTGAAACACATTTTACATTGTGTTTTGCAATTAACTGTGGCCATCTATTAGCTCCAGGCTGATGAACAGGAAGGAAAGTAATATTTTTCTTGTCTGTAGTTTCAGAAAATAATATCCTACATGAAGGAAGACATGTCCTCTCCATCATTCCTGATGGCTGGACTGCAAATGTTACAAGTAGAGTGTAGGCAGCCATTGTGGACCTTGAAGATAAGGGCTAAATTCTAGAAATAGAAAAAAGAACAATTAGAAAGAGTCTGGGCACCTAAGAACTTGGCAAAAGCATCCACAGATAACTGCTGTCTAAATTTCTGAATAAAAGTTTGCATTTTAAGCCATAATTAGGTTGCTTTTTAAAATATATATATATTTAAATTTTATCTCTGAAATGTCATATATCACATGTAGGAGAATACAATCTTGATTGATATAAGAAGTTCCTACATCTTTCTATTCCTACTGGTTCCTAGAGTTTCTTCTAGTGGAATATATTTATTTATTCCTAATTGGGTAGGTTATACATTTTGTCATTTGCTCTCTAATTTTGTTTACAGCATGTAACACAAAAATAAAGTTATTCCCAAATCTAATCAGTACATAAATTCTATTATATAGTCAGAATAAGATCAGGGAGCATCATTAGCTTAGAAATGTTTACAGACCATCTCCCTGTCTCAGCCATCACCGAGCAGCACCGAGACCTGACTCTCTCTGTCAGGAGCCATCGTTCAGAAGAAAAGGAGGCATGCTTCTGAGGACTGGAGAAGTCACTCTTTGTCAAAGCAGAGATTGTTCCATCTGCCAAGTCCCCAGAGGTCTCCCTGGGCCTTGACACATTCCGAGTGGCAAGCTCTGGCTGCTACCTCCAAACACATCTGACAGGCGGCCGCCATGTTCTAGGCATTGGAAACCCACTCAAGAAGGTCTGCTTTTAGAGATTTCTACACACAGAGAGAAGAAACGGGGAGTTGCAGCCGCTTACCAGGTCATAGGCAGCTAGCATCCTCTTTTGCACGTCTGGAATGGCCCCCAGAGGCTCCAGGTAAGGAAAGCTGTCCTTCATCACTAGAGACACGGAGGGAAGACTGTCACTGGTGATGAGACGAGAGGACAGGGTTAGCAGGCACTGTTTCAGACTGGCGATGGGCGGGAGTCCACACAGCTCCTTAACAGACACTATGGCGTTCTACGAGGAGAAAACATGGAGTCACATGTCTGACCACATGGAACTGCGCCCCAGTTTACACCCATGTGAACTCACCAAGTCATACCCTCAGAGACTTTACAGTGCCGCCTGGATGACAGGCAAGCCGATCTGCTGGGACAGGTGCACAGGTGAGACACAGCTGCCTCACAGCCTGACCGCAGACGGCCATCAGAAACAAAGTAGATGCTGCTCAACTGGGATACACACACACACACACACACACACACACACCAGCAGTGCCTAGACATGAATACTTGATTCGAATTTCATCATGCAGATCAGAAAAAAAAAAAACACATCATGGCACTGCCATGTCCCTTAGCATCTCAAGACAGTGCTCACCGGGCTCCATTTGACCAAGCAATATTGCCTTGCGGCCCCACCAGAGATGCGTGCCACACAGAGAAAGGGGCCTGGATGAGCATCTTATTCATTAATGTTACAATCTTTAACAAAATCGAGGCACTATAACGTTAAGAAAATGTCTCATATTCAAAGAGATTGGAACTTTGGCTGTGCTGCAGAGCCAGTTAGTAACAAGCCCTGAGGTCACTTAAAACCGATATCCTACTGTGTACCCTGTCATTAAGAGAGAAATGTGATGACCAATCTTATTTGCTGTGGATTTCCCAGAAAATCACCTTTCATGACCTAAGCTAATTAATAGCTTAATCCGAAACTGTCTTCTCTTCCATGCCCCTGACCCAAGAGTAACACATGTGTGTACGTATGTTATGGTAATAAATGCAGGAAATGGCAAGTAGATTGAGAACAACATTATAAAATAAGTATCTGCCATAAATGTTGAAGACAACCTATGGATTTTGCCTTTGTTTGTTTGCGACCTGGGTCAGCTGGGGTCAGATGGAGTATGTGACTTGATCCCTTGTAAGTCCCTAACCAAAGCTTTCTGTTAAGTGTCCCATCCTTACCCATGTGATGCTCTCAGTGCTATTCAGTCCACACCAGCAAAAGCTCTTTGTTGTGGACACACAGGAACAGACACACATAGAAAGAAAGATTCACAAGACAGACAGGCAAAAGTCAGACAACAGAGAAATGACAGAAGACAAAGGGAGAAAGGAGGAGCTGATTCAAGCCTGGCCTCACTCTTGGTTAAGTTATACCATGGGAAGTGATTTTTTTTAGTTTCTTTTTCTTAATAAGACAGTGACACATTTTGGGCACTCTGGGACTCTTATTAATGTGCTCAACCTGAGGCTCAAGTAATAACTTGGAATAGAAATTGTGTGTTTTACATTTATTAATAATGAGCAGCATCTAATCTACTGAATGTCTCATGAATGCATTAATTATCACAGTAGTTTTGTCTCTTTCAGATTGCTCTCCAAACAATTCTTTATCCAAACTACTTTGTTAGAATACCATTAATTATTAACGCTGCTTGAAAAATCCTCATGAACAGCTTTTATTTTTGAGTATGTGTATGCGGCATGCATACGCGCACGTGTGTGTGTGTGTGTGTTCGTGTGTGTGTGTATGTGTGTGTTTCTATCTGTGGGCACGTGTGTATGGGCATACATGCGGAGCCCTGGGTGTCTTCTTCGATCACCCTTTATATATTGAGGCGGGCTCTCTCACTAGATCCAGAAATCATGGGTTTTGGTAATGCAGCTCCCTGTCCTGCTCCAGTGGTCCTTGGCCTCAGGCATACACTGTACTCATGGGAGGTCTCCACACATCTTCTAAGCGGGTTCTTCTGGGGGATCTGAGCTCCACCCCAAGTGATTTCCTGGCTGAGTCATAACCCCAGCAAAATACTCTTCTCAAGAGAGTCTAAAAATATGATCAAAAGGTTGTATTTCAAGAATTACATAGTAACACATAGAGCTGACCTCTAATAAAGTTAGGTTCAGAAATTGCTTGTAGCTGGTCTCATCTAGGGCTTTTCAATAAAGTCATATTTACATAAGAGATAGAAGATAATAGCACAGTCAGGGGCTCATTTTAACGAAGTGGTTAAGCAGCCTATCCTGAACCAAATACATGAACACTCTGACTGCAGGTATTCATAGGTGAGTTTTCATATCACACTATTTTCCAGCATTGGATATCTGAAGAACTTCTCTATGAGTTAATAATTTCACTAAGTCACAGCTTGGTGGTTCTGCTTTACATGAATTATAACGGATTTTGGCATCAGGCATTCTGGGATTTAAAGTCTAACTTTGATGTTTATTAACTGCAAGATTTGAGAAATTACGTTTTCTAATGTATCTGTTCTCCTGAGGGCAGAGCTTCTGGGTGGGTGAGTATTCTTATAAACACTCTAGCTAGCAGAATGAAGTAACTGATTTATTCTCAGTTTTCTATACAAGACCTTAGTGAATACTTGTCTGTTCAGGCCTCAAAAATGCTATCCTCAATTAACTATGTTAAGTAGTGTGAAAAGAAGTTTGCAATCATGTCTGATTATGCATCACAAGGAAGGGAAGGGCACTGTGGGCTCCTCCAGGTCAAAGCTGGGCAGCTGCTATTTGCTCTCACTCAGTTCTCACAGCAGTCCTGCAGTAGAAGTCTCATGGTCTTGCCTTATGCAGAGAAAACTGATGATCAGAAACCAGGACCACACAGGGACAGATTCATCCAAGAATTCACGTTCCTTCAATTAAACCACCTTTCTAGGAGAAAGGTAAATACATGTTGGTTCTAATTTAAGTGCAAGTTTTGTTTGGTTAGCTGTGTTTTCTCTTGTGGGCAATAACTTCTTGGTACATGCTTACATAACTAAAAGTATACTAGGCATGACTTTTATAATGTATGACTTCAAATTCTCTTCTATATTCACATCTGTAAGTATTTTACATATGTGCTTTGAAATCACATGCATATGTCTGGGTATGTATTTTATACACCACCCACATGAGGGGTGTGTGTGTGTTTGTGTGTGTGTGTGTGTGTGTGTGTTCATGTCATGTAGATATGCCTGTCTCACAAAGAGACCAGAGGAGAATGCAGGGTACCTGATCCATCCATCATTTTCCATCTTACTTCTTTGAGGCAGGGTTTCTCATTGAACCTGGAGCTAGGCTAGTGGCCAACAAGCCCCAGAGAACTTCCTGTCTCTGCTCACACTAAACAGGAGGTTACAGACACATTTAGCCACACTTTTTATACGGATGCCAGGTATTCAAACCTAGCTCCTCACCCTTGCATAGCCAGTGCTCTTACCTTTTGAGCCACGTCCCCAGCTCTTACTCACATGTTTTATATTTCACGTTTTCCACATTGTCCATGTACATATTCCTGTTAATTAGTTATTACAAGCTAAACATGTGGGAAAGATACCCAGCATTTTGCTATACATTTTGCACCATTACCTGGCCAAACTCAACCTCGCATTCACAATTAGAAACCAACCTGCTTTCTCACAGGTGACAGGGAGCAGGATGTAGCGGTGCCTGGGACCACACAATATTTCTGAACATGTGCAAACCAACCTTTAGAGAACCACAGCAGTCACTCGAACCAACCATTAGAGAACCACGGCCGTCACTCATGTAAGTGGGCGTGGGTAACGGGCAGGGAGAGCAGGAGGGGCTGTCTGCCTACCTGCATGTTCTCTCTCATGTCTATGGCTTCTCGTAAGGGATGAACCGCGATTTTGAAGACATCATCTATGGTCTTCAGACCGATATTCCTGAGCATGGTGTATTCTCGAACTTTCTTCCCCATTCTCACAGAGAGGCTACGCTTCTGCGCCTTCCCTCCTCCACTTCTATTGGTTATTGCTATGTGGACAAAAAGGGTCACGTGCTCCATGACGTCCCCCACAAAGGAGCGCAGGGGGACATGCCGGTACCCGGGCTGCAGACATTCAAACGGTATCGTGTACTGCCCGATGAACTCATCACCGATGTAATCATCATCCAGAACAACAAACCGGACCATGGTCAGCTCAGGAAGGTTGACCTGGAACTCGAAAGTTTCATCAAAAATGGGATTATCACTGTTCTGTTGCACAGTTTTAGTTCTTTGCTCGGAGCAGTCAGCCGGAATCCCATGAATCTCCACACAAACATAGGGGTCTATGACATCCCCTTTGGCACACGCCCCCTTGGGCTTCGGGAAGTTCTGACCGCTGATGATCTTGATGTGAAGGACCAGGGGAGACACCCCAGGCACAATGCCCTTTGTATTTGCGCTGAAGTATGAAACCTCATCTCGCATGATAGATGGCCTCAGGACATAGCCACATCCCCCGTTCTGAAGAAACCAGCCGGTGTGGAGGTCCATCATTGGACCAGGAGTTTGAAAATTCATTGCCACAATTTGACAGCCACAATTCCAGAAGTCCTGTGGGTTCAAATTACTGGAATCTATCCGCATGGCACTAGGGTAGATCCTTGATAAGAACTTCTTGTTGTAATTGACGAAATCCTCCGGGTATTCATTTGCAATTCGGCTGGCCTCTGTTTCACTAAATGAACAAATTTCCCAGTAGTTTTGGGTTTTCATAGACAGTTCAAAATCCCTGTACTGAACAGATTTGCAGATGGATACCAAGTCAGAGAGCTCTCGGCAGAGCCAGATATGTTTCTGCTCACCGTTGTAATCCCCTGACATCCTCCGAGACATCTCAGCTTCTTCATCCTCATCAGTTACTTCTCCCTCTAGCAGATCTGACTCTGAAGGCAGTTTCTTTCCTTTTACAATGATCATGTTCTTTAGTTTTTCGGGTGATGGGAGGTAGGATTCAGATGACAAAGGCGCTTCTGTATAGAGTTTATTGCCAAACACCTTTTTCATCTGCTGAGCCATGACTGTCTGCTGAGGTAGAGAACAGTGATTCCCCAAGCAGAGGATGAGCGGGTATTCTGAAGCAACAAAGGCAAACTTATTGATGACCTCTAGAACGCTTCGAAAGGAAAGATGTGTGGCCATGTTGTTTCTGTTACAAAGGATGGGCTCATTATCCGAACCATCACTCACATCGAGCTCAATGCTTCGACAGCCCATTTTCAAAGCCCTCACATACCCATTGATATCAGCTGGTCCCCTGAACTGGTCTTCTATCAGGTAGGTATTATGAGACGCATTGATATAGTAGTGGGATAAGGGCTGGGTCATGTCTTGGGCAACCTTCTTTTGCTCTGGATCAAAAATGTCACATTCTGGAGACAGTAAATACTGGGTAAAACCATCAATGGCAAGAAACCCTTTCTGACGGCCCTCTTCGGAAAACTCATACCTCCTGATGATATCTAAGCACATATCCTCAGTGATGTGGGTAACCCCTTGCTCAGCTTCTAAGAAGAGCATGAGGTCATTGGCATCCAGATATTCCTTGTTCTTAGATATCTGGACAAGTAAGAAATACACTTCTGGCCTGGTACAGAGTTCACAGAAAGCTTCACAAAATTCCTCCTCTGTCACCCGGGTGGTTAGTTTTTCTTTGCTCTTCTGGATTTCTTTAAACTTTAACCTGATCTTAGATTCCTTCAGGGTAGGGTTGAGTTGTTTTATTAACTCCACGGAAGTGTCTTCTAACATAATCCCATTCCCATCAACATCTGCGGCCTCAAACACCGTTTTTAGCCACATGAGCCGTGGTGTGTTCTGGTTACCCTCCATAAAATCAAGTGGTTGTTTACTACGTGAGACCAAGTACCGCAACCCCGACACCCAGATGTTTGCCACATCTGCTGAATTGGCAACCAGGTCCAGAGACTCGTAGTTTTCCCCGTGGAGGATGGAGAAGGCGCAGTCTTCACAGATCTGGTCGGCGAGCCCATTGTTTCTGAATGTCTCTGTGTTCTTGCCCAGCCGGATCTCTTTGATGGCGGAAATGTCCAGCTTGGCTTTGTCAAGGTCTTTCTTGGATGGTTCCCAGCGGAGAGCCTGGAGGTCTGCATCTAGGGTGAAGAACCGGTTGTAGATGCGGGAGTTCGGTCGTACTTTCTTCAGCTCGCAGCCAGCCTGCATGAAGCTGATGCAGTCGCTGGCGCTGCTGATCTTCTTCTCTGACGGCATGCTGCTGAAGGACACTGTTTTCTTCCTCCCACCACATTTTTGGTTTGAAGGATCCTATAAAATAATCAGAAAAGTCTGATCAATCTCCTTTAGGAGACCTAAAGTCAGTAACGCTCTAGGAGGCTCTCGAACTCCGTTCAGACAGTCTGGTTACAGGGCAGAAGCCAGCCTGACATTTACCTTTTCACTGTTTCAGAAGATACATTATGGAGAGGAGTGATATCCTTAGGCTCCAAAGGAAACTCATTTCACAGATGCACGTGTGCACTCCAAGTTAAGATAAATATTCAGAACAAAGCCCAGCACACCAGACAGCATCCACCGGATGGACCGTGCTCAGCAGGGCACATGGGTCCTGTGGCTCTTCCCATTGCAGCCCTTCTCGCTTACAGTCCCTCCTAAAGCACATGTCCGGGCCGATGAATATCATAATTCTAGAAGATGGATTTCATCTTTGTGTTGGACTGTCTGCTCTCTTTGTTGCTGCCAACTCATTTACACCGAGCACCTGACCTCTTCCACTTAAAACTGGGTAAGTCTTCATTTTAATGAAGTTTAAACCAGTTCTCGGCTGCATTACTGATTCAAACTATTCCCCCCAGAGCATATTCCTAAACTGCATCTGTAATATGCTTAGAGTGCTAGATCTCATAAGCACGCCAGCGACGGAGTATGAATGCTTCAAAGGACAGTGTCCTCGAGGCAAAAGTAAGTAGTCCTTAATTTCCTTTATTCAAGTCACTAGGTATGTTATCTGGGATAAGCCACTTAACATCTCTGAATCTTAATTTCCACTTCTCAGGTAAGATTTGAATGCATAATCTTTATGTTACTGTTCCGTGTTATCATGACACTCAAAAGAGAAAAACTCATGCCCATTTTGGTTTGTAAATGATAAGTCCTCACAAAGGTTTTCTTCTGAAAGGAAGATTGTCTCTATTCCCTGTGCCTATAAGGCCATCTATAGATGTCGGCTGGAATACTGGGAGTTAGCAAGACGTTAACTCATTCCTGACTCTTAAATATTTAAGAGAAACCTTCAATAGTAAGTTGAAATATTTTTAAACATCCAAATGATATCATCACTTTCAACACTGGAAAGTAAAACCAAGGCAATCTGGGCTGTCTCATTGCTGGCATCTTTTTAGACTCTGTTCTCTGGGGCAATGGCATCATCTAATCCATCCAGCCCGCATCAGCCTGTTTATCCTATATTCAGCAAAGGCAGAATGATTTATTATTTAACTGGCTAAACCTCTGCAGGCAAAAGGAAAATAAATTTCACTTTAGTTATAGTATACCGTTGGGATGATTCATTGACTAAACTACATATCAGATCTTCAAGTGACACAGATATAAATTACCCAATTTGTGTTACAGAACACTGCCCCTTGGTTCTGTGGCATTTGACAACTTGGCTGTTCTTTCCCAGAGAGTTGCTATTTTTAATTATCCCAGAGTGGTCAATTTCCTCCATATTTAAGTTAAAAAAACAATGATGAATCTTCAGCTGTTTCAACACATATGCTCCACCAGAACACTTTTAAGCTCATCACAGCCCACAGGCTCAGAAATACCGGACACTTGTGTGTATTTTTCCACCCCATCCAAGTAGGAACTTAATGACACTGCTAGCTGAGATTAATCTACCAAGTAAAATAGAGAGGAAAACTGGATTGTGGAGCAAATTAGAGTGTGATTCGGCTTTCAAGGTAACCATTTGCCTAGACTTTTATACTAATAAGAGCTTCACATAAAAAAAAAAAAAACAACTTTATTTGAGATCATATTCCAGATGAAATTGTTGTCAGCAGAGTCACAGAACCTACAACAGTTCCCAGGAAACTGAAAATGGGGAACCAGCGTCCCTCTAAGTGCACATTTGCTTCCTTGGCCCTGTGTGCAACTGCAGTAGCCTCTCTGTGATCTACCGCTCCTCTCCCGACTTCAGACACTTCTCTGCGAGAACCATCCGCCACTGCCAGGACGGCTTCCTATGTGAGCCTCTCTTCTTTGTAATGAGAGCTCCTTAGAGTAAGCTTACTATGCCACTAGTAAGACGAGATTTCAAGGGAAGAATGTTTTCTACCAAGTCTATAAAAGAATCTACCTGCTCTAGGATGCTAGGTTCTTGCCAGGACTTGAAACTCACATGTAATTATAAAATATATCCCAAAGTGCCTCAAAATGTGGGATCTGAAAAAAAAAATGTGACTCTCATGTTGTCATTCCACAAAAGATAAAATCCAGTTATTATAAGTCTCCAAGCGAGCCAGAAACCAGCCATGCATGTGTGAACAAGTAATTAGCATGTCTACTGATGGCTAGAGCCAAGGTTATTTATATTAAAATATGCTGGAAAAGATTCAGGATGCTGTATTCCTCTAGTTCTGCCATAGAAAAAGAAAATGGCTGGCCCTGGACAGCGGTCCTCAGACTGTTACTGCAATGTTCTTGCAGGGGCAGGCTGGGAGAAGCAGTGGGGACATCATCTTGCTGGACAGTCTCTTTTGGAGCCACTTGACTCACATGACCTTCTGGACAAGTGCTCTATACCCCATACCTGTATTCAATGCAACACAGTGGCAGATAAGGTCCTGGACGGTAAATTACGGTAAATAGCCTGATAAACATTAGTGTTGGTTGTAGGACTCAGATAGAAACTCCAAGCAGCTGTTACATAATGAGCGGAGTTTGCAGTTATCTGTATATTGTGGAGACCAGCCCTACTCGCACTTGGGCAGATCCCACGAAGAGCCAGGTTTGATCTCAGTCTAGGTGTGCTCTTTCCAGCTTCCACCCAATGAGATGATGGAAAAGACTCCAACACCCAGAACGTGTAACTAAGAGATTCTGGTAAAGAAAGTAGATTTTAGTTCTTCCCAAAGCTAACTTTCCTCCCTATGAAGAAAGACAAAGGGATGAAGTCCACCAGGATAAAATAGCACATTGTGGTGGTTTTGTCCCTAAGTCAAAAGCTGGCCTCCAAGTCTAGGAGAACATAAGACTCAGATCCTTAGCATAATTCCTTCAATGTCCTGAAACTCTCACTTAAGTCTAAATGATCGCTTTCTGTGAAGCAATCGCATTTAAACAAGCTAAACAATAAAACAAATAGGCCAAGATGGGTTAATATGGTCCCTGAAGGGCTCTATGCATTGCTTCATGTTTTGGAACTACAGTCTTTGTAAATAAAAACACTAACTGATAAAGGATTTAGCCACCAGCACCAGAAGATCCTTAGGTCCCTGTAGCATGCAATAAATATTCCAACCTTTAGATAAAACAATGCATTTTTTTAACCTAACACACTATTCATAGTACATTCGTATCATTTTTAAAAAACTCCACATAATCTCATGGTATCAGCACTAATTTTTAATCTAGAAATAATTTTTAATGCTATGATAAATAGTGAGATATTGTTTTTCATTGTTTTCTACATTTTTTTAATTTATGGTAAAGAAAAGAAAACCAAACATAATTAAATGAGAATCCTGCTTATACAACAGTAAAAGAATTGAAGCTCTTTAAACATATTTCATTAAATTAAGATTGGAAACAGGACAGGAGGGAGTTCATATAAGCTAAATTAATAAAAACTGCTTCTTCAAATTCCCACTGACATTTACTTTCTTGTTTTCCATCTAACAACATTAATATGCAGGAACATAACAGGAAAATAACTTTCCTTCCCAATGCACTGATAAGTCCCACAAAAAAAAAAAAAGTCTATTTGGTGGATCACAGTTTTAAATCTTGGTCATGAAAACATGATTTCAATAAAATATCTTTAGGGGAAAACTGTACTGAGGCAAGAGACACCGTAGTTACCATCAAGCTTAAAGAACTGAGTTTGATCCCTGGGCCCCCCATGGTGGAAGGAGAGAATTGACTCATGCAAGTTGTCCTCTGACCTCCACACATGTGTCATGCATGATACATGCATGCCTTCCCCCACACACATAAATAGATAACTGCAATGAAGCTTTTCTAAGAAACAACAGGAAAAATAACAAGAAGTGTTATTGATGTAGGACGATTTGTAGGTTCCTAGCTTCAATGAGAAGTAAACATAAGTACCACTGCGTGGATTATGGGATACAAGGGTGGTAGCATCAAAGAGAAAGTATTTACTGTGGGCTAGTTTGGATTTTAGATGACTGTGGATGGCCTACACAAACATTTCCAAAGGAAAGATAGCTCCGGGAGCTGGTAGTCAAATAAGCTTTGGAGCTGGGAGTTACAGCTGAAAAGATTAAATGCCATACACTAATAACATTGAAATATGAGCTAAGCCCATAGGGTCATTCAAATTTAGAAGCTGAATAAAGAAAGAGATGTAAAATGATGATGATGAGGAGGATGGGAAGGAGGAGGAAACAGAGGAAGAATAACAAGATGAGGGGGGAGGAAGAAAACAGATGTAAGAGCTCTCACAGAGGCCACAGCAGAGAGGGCTGTAAATTCAGACCTATGATAGTTCCCTGGACTCTGCAGATAACACGTTCCTGTGAACTTTAACAAGAAAAGATTTTTATGCTCCATTCAGAATATTGAAGACCAAACTGCAGCCATGAGAACTGCTGAGACTGAGAACTGGGGAGAGAAAAGCAGTCATCCAGCATCCAGTCTTGTTGTGGGGCCAGGGGCCAGGACGCAGCAGTGCAATACGGAAGGTTAGACTGGCCCCAAATGAGGCTAGAGCAACAGGCAGAAACAGAGCAGAGCAGAGACTGGTTTGTTTGTTTGTTTCCACTCTGGTTATCATCCAGTGGAATTCAGTTCTCAAGCACACGTTTTCCCTCATCCACCCAACTACACATAAACGTTTGGCAAACAGTCAAGAAAAACCTTAGTTCTCTCATACGATGCCTAACTTTACACAACACTGCAAAGGTGAGGGAAGCGAGCACGGTCATACCCACCCTGTTGCCTTCACATTCCAGCCAAAGGGAGGTTGCAGCCCTAGATTACACCGCGACTTCCACGTTAAAACTCCCAGAGTTATTTTTCCATTCAAACTCTAATCGCTTAAGGCAGAGTTGTGTGTG